GCAGTCAGAACCACACCTGTAGAATCCTGCAGTCAGAACCACACCTGTAGAATCCTGCAGTCAGAACCACACATTTAGAACCCCACAGTCAAAACCCGCAGTCAGAACCCTGCAGTCAGAACCACACATTTAGAACCCCACAGTCAGAACCACACATTTAGAACCCCACAGTCAAAACCCGCAGTCAGAACCCTGCAGTCAGAACCACACATTTAGAACTCCACAGTCAGAAACCTGCAGTCAGAACCACACATTTAGAACCCCACAGTCAGAACCACACAGTCAGAAACCCGCAGTCAGAAACCTGCAGTCAGAACCACACATTTAGAACCCCACAGTCAAAACCTGCAGTCAGAACCACACATTTAGAACCCCACAGTCAAAACCTGCAGTCAGCACCCTGCAGTCAGCACCCTGCAGTCAGAAACCTGCAGTCAGAACCCATGTAGAATCCTGCAGTCAGAACCCTTCAGTCAGAACCCCATAGTCAGAGCCCCTGCAATCAGAACCCCACATGTAGAATCCTGCAGTCAGAACCCCACATGTAGAATCCTGCAGTCAGAACCCTTCAGTCAGAACCCCATAGTCAGAACCACACATGTAGAAACCTGCAGTCAGAACCCCATAGTCAGAGCCCCTGCAGTCAGAACCACACATGTAGAATCCTGCAGTCAGAACCCCATAGTCAGAACCCGCTGCAGTCAAAACCCCACATTTAGAACCCTGCAGTCAGAACTCTAAATCCAGGACAGTCAGAACACCGCAGTTAGAACCCTGTAGTCAAGACCCAGCAATCAGAACCTTGCATTTAAAAACCCGCAGTCAAAACCCTGCAGTCAGAACCCTGAATCCAGGACAGTCAGAACATCACAGTTAGAACCACAAAGTCAGAACCATGCAGTCGAAACCTGCCATCAGAACTGCTCAGTCAAAACCCTGCAGTTAGAACAATGCAATCAAAACCCCGCAGTAAGATCCCCTGCAGTCTCCAGACACTGAGATGAGAGAAGCTGTGTTTAAACAAAAAGGAGCTGAAACCTGGATTATATACTTTGCTGAGTCACATTCCACAAGAATGCACCTGTGGTGACTCAGCACTTTTATAGTTTTAAAGGTTAGTAAAATCTATATAGTTGTAGAAAAACACATTAAATTATATTATTTTTGTTGATTTATTTTTTATTTTTATTTATTTATTTTTTTTTACGAACTAGTTGCATTGTACAGTTGGATCTGGCATTGCCTCTGTGAAGGCGTCTGCTGCATTGCACATTTCTAAAACAGTGGAGGGTGGGAGGATGGGGGGATTGGCAGTCTGTGCCAGCGCCTTGCCAAAACCTGAATGAAGCTCGGTCACTCAGGGACACAGTAGACCTGGGGTGTAGCTTGCCTTTGAAATATGGAATGTTGGAATATTATAGTTACTATTATAATATAGTACAACCCCATTTTAAAAAAGTTGGGACGCTGTGCAGAATGTAAATAAAAATAGAATGCAGTGATGTGCAAATCACGTAAACCATATTTTTAAAGAAAAATAGTATAAAGACAACATATCAAATGTTGAAACTGTGAAATTTTATTGTTTTTTGAAAAATATTTGCCCATTTTGAATTTGATGCCAACAACACGTTCCAAATAAGTTGGGGGGCCTGTTTACCACTGAGTTTCATCACCTCTTCTTTTAACAACACTCTGCAAGTGTTTGGGAACTGAGGAGACACTGCTGTAGTTTAGAAAGTGAAATGTTTTCCCGTTCTTGTTTAATACAGGATTTCAGCTGCTCCTCAGTTCAGGGGCTCATTTGTCGTATTTTTCAATTCATAATGCGACAAATGTTATCAGGGGTGACAGATCTGGACTGCAGGCAGGTCAGTTTAGCACCCAGACTCTTTTAATATGGAGCAATGCTGCTGTAATACATGCAGAATGTGGTTTGGCATCGTCTTGCTGAAATAATCAAGGCCTTCCCTGAAAAAGACGTCGTCTGGATGGCAGCTTATGCTGCCAAAACATGTATATATCATTCAGCATTAATGGTGGCTTCACAGATGTGCACGTCACCCATGCCATGTGCACTAATGCCCCCCTATACCATCATGAATACTGGCTTTTGAACTGTGCACTGATAACAAGCTGAGTGGTCTTTAGCCCGGAGGACACAGTGATTTCCAAGAAGAATTTCAAATTTTGATTTGTCGGACCACAGGACACTTTTCCACTTCCCCTCAGTCCATTTGAAATGAGCTCAGGCCCAGAGAAGGTGGCAGCATTTCTGGATCCTATTTATATTTGGTTTCTTCTTTGCGTTTTAGAGTTTTAACGTGCATTTCTGGATGTAGCGACAAACTGATTTCACAGACAGTGTTTTTCAGAAGTGTTTCTGAGCCCATGCAGTGATTTCCTCTACAGAATCATGTCTGTTTTTAATGCAGTGCTGCCTGAGGGCCCTGAGATCAAGATCAGCAAATACTGGTTTTTGGCCTCGTCCCTCACATACAGAGATTTCTCCAGATTCTCTGAATCTTTTAATGATATTATGTACCGTAGATGATGAAAAGCAAAAGTTCTTTGCTATTTTATGTTGAGGAACATTATTATTATTATTCTATTTGATTGTGCAGTCTTTCACAGAGTGGTGAACCCCTTCTTATCTTTACTTCTGATTGGGCTTTTTTATGCCCAATCATGTTACTGACATGTTGCCAATTAACCACCAGGTGTTTTTTAAGCATTACATAACTTTACCAGCCTTTTGTTGCCCCCGTCCCAACTTTTTTTGGAACATATTGTTGGCATCAAATTCAAAATGGGCAAATATTTTTCTAAAAACAATACAATTTCTCAGCTTCAACATTTGATATGTTGTTGTAAGGGTTCAGCCGGCCCCGCCTGCTTCCAGCAGAGGGCGACGGTGGCAGGGTGTCCAGCCCGCACCGCCAGCTGCCAGCAGAGGGCGACGGCAGCATGGGGCGATAACTTCAGGGAACTCCTATTCCCAGAAGTCCGCGGGCTGATTAGGCCCAACGCGACACACCTGCGGACTCCTCTACTTAAGGCCTTGGCAAACAGTGGCGTTTGTCCCAACTTTGTAGAGAGGTGACCGGTACGGTACTTAGTGTCGTTAAAGAAAAGAAAAGAAAAGAGGGCTGAGAAAGGAAAGTGCCCCAAAACTAAAGAAAGAAGTAAAGAGGGCTACAAAGAATACTGCCCTGAAGCTGCTTAAAGCCAAAAAAAAAAAGTGTTTGCTCCACCAAGAGTAAACACCTCAAACAAAGTCTGCCTTCCCTTCATTTTTACAGGGGAGGTGTATTTTGTTTTCTCTTTCTTTTATTTCACCTTTCTAGTTCAACCTTTGTTTGAGTTTCTTTTGTTTGACGTTTCCCGCCTTTTCATTTCCCCCTTTTAGGTGCTTTACCCATTGTCACCTGTGCGTCCCAGTGGCGCAGCGGTAACACCACGGACCACCGATCAGTACAGCGGTGGTTCGAGTCTGGCTCCGGGTCACTTCAGTCGCAATGTTTTCAAACTCACAATCCAGTGCCCCAATAAATTCATTTATCCCTCTTTCTCTCTGTTTCCATTTCTGCACTTGGGTCCGCCTCCCCGCCGTCCCATAACAGTTGTCTTTGTACTACTTTCAATGAAATATAGGGTTTAAATTATTTGCACATCATTGCATTTTTTTACATTTTACTCACTGAGAATGATTTACTCAGATGAAAGTAAATTAACTGGTGCTGGTGTATAGCTGATGATGTCTTGCACACCAAACATGATTGTTTTGGATGATGTAAATGTGACATTATTTTCATCGCCCTCTGTTTTTTGTGAACGTTCGCAGTTGACATGATCCCACTGACCCATCTCTGTCCTCTCTGGTGTTGGCATGGTGACAGTGTAGATGCCGGATCAGCAAATGCCAAAAGGATTAGAATCTCCAAAAGCAGCTCAAACAGGGCTACGAATGTCTCAGTTATATGGAAGCACTCTTCTGAGTTGCTATCCGGTGTCGACCAGAGGAGGATGGGTTCCCCTTTTGAGCCTTGATTCCTCTCAAGGTTTCTTCCTCTTGCTCTTAGGGAGTTTTCCTTGCCACTGTTGCCATTGGCGACGCTCATGGGGGCTCAGACCCGGATTTTTCTGTAAAGCTGCTTTGTGACAACACCTGTTGTAAAAAGCGCTATGTAAATAAACTTTGACTTGACTTAACTTGAATTAAGTGAAGAAGCTGTACACGCTACTCATATTTTTCCAAAATGAAAAGTTGCCCAATGTCAGCGTTTACCTAATCTGTGAGGAGCAAAGCAGATCTTACTTAAAGATATTCCGTCCGTTTGTTTTGTCTCATGTGGAGCTGCATCTCCAAAAGCATTTGAGCTGTGAAGCAAAAGCTCTCATTACTTTTCAGCTCCTGAATGAGGCGGAGAAACTTTCCATTCTCCAGTTGCTTTTCCAAAATGGAAGATCCTGCAAGCGTCACAGTTTGGCCGTTTTGTGAGAAGCAAAGGATATGTTTTCATAGATTTTCCTGCCCATTTGTTTTTTTTCTTGCGGCGTAAACAACACAGTGAAATTCCCCCAAAAATTTGCCATATCTGCTATGTATACATTTGATGCGAAAAAGGCTTCGGAATATTTTGCTTTGTCATTTATTTGCGTCATGCCTGGTATGTGATGGCCTTAAGAGTCCTATGTGGAGCTTCTTTGAAAAGATAAGTGATGATGAACTTCACCATGTAAAGCTATAGTTAACAGATAACTGTGCATACACATTTGAAAGCAAATGCCCGGTCCTGGACTTTTTGCAGGGTGGTGAAGGTAGTGTCAAGCAGCGTTTGAATATTGTCTTGGAAATGCAAATATTAGACTGAAATCCCCTTGTGTGCATTCATTTTTTGGCTAAAATAAAATTATCTGGTGATTTTCAAGTGTGAAAAGCTCATCTGTACAAACAGCACCCTGGAAATACGTGCATGTCTTCTTTCCGAATCTTTCAGGACAGACCCACTGGCTCCATTCGCTGCAGGAGGAGCAGACCTCGACCCCTTTGGGTAAGACGTCCTTTTCTCTTCCTGTCTTCAAGTTCATCTGTTCTCATCTTGATTATTGCTGGTTTAACCAGGTTCGACATGCAGTCCACAAGTTGATGACCATAATAGTCCTGACAGCAGCCACCACTTAGCAACGAATCCAGTTAAGATTAAATGTATTTGAACTCTCTTTCCAGTGGAAGGCCAGGGGGCATGATTGTGGATCCTTTGCGGTCAGGGTTCCCTCGTTCTGGCTTTGACCCCTCAAGCGGCATACCCGGAGTTCTTCCTCCAGGCGCTGTGCCCCCAGGTGCCCGCTTTGACCCTTTTGGACCGGTCGGGAGACGCAGACCCGGGTAAGATCAGCAGGGAAATTCTGCAAATACATCAGTTTTATAGAACGACTGTTGCTGACTGGCCAGATATCATATATACAAATTAAGTGTTTAGTCTGCAAAACTGGGACATCACATAAAATGAGATGAGTCAAGTGAGCCACATGCTGTATTGCCCTTTGAGTGTCAAATCAAATGTAACTGTCATTCTTCATTTGTTTTTATTGACTTGACATCATTGAGTGGTGGGTCATAACTTGGAATCGATAGATTTAACCAAGCACATGCAGAGTGGACTGACAAATCAGAACCATATATATTAAAACAAAAGTCGCACCTTTGCTGAACACGCTAGGTAACGTGGGACACCTTTTAAAGCCATTGTGTTTTGTTATGATCATATATCATCACACTTGTAAGAGCTAACATTTGGATAGTCCACTTTAGATGATTTGTAGATACTTAATTTACTTTAAAGTTACATTCAACTAAATATCAACTAAATGGACCATAATTGTCTTTACCTCTAATCCTGGCTTTAATCCTAACCTTAACTTTAACCTCAACCCAAAACCTAAACCCAACCCTCACCCTAACCCCACCACTGTTCAGAGTTTCAACAGATAGTTTGTTAACAATTTGAACATCTGTAGATGATCTATAGGGGACTATCCAAATAAAGTGAGACCATGTATTTCATAACAGGACTAATTATCTATATAGGTACCAACATTAGGCTTTAAATGGTAGCCTACCTTATAGATACCTAACTGTATAGCGTAGCGTAGAGACGTCTGCAGGCATTGACACTGTGACGATCATTCTTTTTAGGCCTACAGCTCTTTATTAATAAGCTTTTGTGTGGAATCTGGGGCTGAAACAATTATTCAGTGCCGATAATGTATAAAAATCATTCTGTTGTCAGTTTTTCATTCATATTTTCCAACCTAGAGTGAGTTAACGAGGTACTCTGATGAGGGCAGCAGTTATTTATAGTGTCATACCTCTGAGCAGATAGTTATGGTTACATAACTATGGTTATGGTTGAAACTTAAAGGAGCAATGGGTAAGACGATGCAACTGAATTCATACTCCACACTCCAAACAAATAGGGGGCAGTATTTCACCAGAAAGATGCGGTGTCCACCTCTATCACAGGAAACGAGGAAATGCACAGTCCCTCTCCCTCTTCACTCCTCGCTAAATTGCTATCGCTAAATAGCCAATGTTCGTATTAACCACGGTTTACTTACCAGTCTAGAAGAAACGTTGCGAGTTCAGCATCGAACTTCATCCGTTTACTTGCCGAGAGCTGCAGTCTGGAAAGCAGCGCCAACACTAACTCTTGTTTAGCTTCTATTTATGTCACTTCTTTGCTGCTGAACGTGGTTTCTTGTGGGCAGCGGTGGTGATAATGGTCACTTGCCAAGAGCATCAGCCATTGTTACGTTTACTCGACGCTACAGTGACTCATTATCGCCTATAGAGGTACAAAAAGGTATTACAGGACAGGATGGGCTGGGGCTAGCTGGTTAGCGTGCTAACTTTAGTAGATATGTGTGCAACACTAACTGATGATATTATTCACAGGTATTTTGTCTCGTTTGTTTAATTTGGTCCTCTTTATCCACTATTAGGACTTCAAAATCTCGATGTTTTAGGTCAAATTTATGCAGAAATATAGGAAATTCGAAAAGGTTCACAAACGTTCAGGCACCGCTGTACCTATGAAACTATCTTTTTTCTTTTTTTATATTTGACAAACTAAAACTGAGTCTTCACTTCTCAGGCCAGACCCGGATCATCTGCCCCCACCAGGCTATGATGACATGTTCATGTAGAAGATTCTGAGGCACATCCTAGTTCTCCTGGAGGACTCCCTGTTCTCTTTTCCCGAATGTTCCCAGTTTCTCTCTGCAGTGAACTGATAAAGAGCACTTTGAGTGTGAGGTTGGTAGTGATGCTGCTGCAGAAGTGTTTTGTATTCCAGACTAACGCAGAGGCCTTCAGAGAAGATTGATGACTCCAATTAATGGGTGCAGAGGTTTTTGTCGCTGATTTATACCTTAATTTAGGATTCACTGTTCTGATCCTGTCGCTATTGGCTTGTTGTTGATGGGCCCAATAAACTACTTTTTTTTGTTAAATAAAGAAGCAAATTGGTTTGTTGTTTACTTAAAAATGGTTTTGTACTTTTTTCAATGTCCAAAGGAGACTCACTTTGTAAGGGAGCCGTTAATAATAGTTTTTTGGACTACATTTTATGATTTGTCCTTTTAAAAACCTTACCACATTTATTTGTCTGTTACAAATAACAGTAATGTAGAAATTCTGTTTGCTCACAAAACAAGCATATTTGTGTCAAAGAATTCTTTGTTGTTATTGAGTTTATAAAGGACTTTTCTGTCATTTTTCATTCATTTTTCTTAAATTTAAAGCAAGAAACACAGTAAAACCATTGATATTGAACCTGTTGGTCTTACCAAAACATTTTAAACACACAACACTGTAGATTATTTCAACCGAGCTGGCAGCTGTTGATGATGTAGAAGAAGGTCAAATGTTTGTTGACAGTTAAAGTTTACCTTCATTACATTCATATCTTCGAACAATACTAAACAAAACAAAAAAAACGATGCTAGGATGTTACAGCTTTCCCCATGTTAAAACCTCCCTGGTCTCCCCTTCGTCTTTTTCTCTATTTTTTATTTTATTTTTGTCTAACCTGCATCTAAAATGGACTTAAAGCTTGTAGTGACATTCTGGGAGCAAATAAAAGAACAGAAAATCTGGCCTTGTGATGTTCTGGTCAGAACTATGCAGAGTGTTTATCTCCACTGAGGAGGTGATTTATAGATGGAAGGTTATTTTTTCCCAGCAACACCACCATAATCATTTTCACGTTTGCTATCTGTACTTCATCATGTTCTCTCCTTTCTTTTCTACACAAATAATCAATTGGTGAAACAGTAGCTGCTGGACACGGTCAATTCTGTGAAGATCAGCGTACAGACTGAGTGTTATTTATGGAGAGGGCAGCTGCAGATGTAGTGGAAATCAATGGCAGTAATGGCCACCATGAGTCACAATGCCCAGAATGTCAACTGAACTCTGCTCTGCCAGCTGAGCGATGAAGACGTTAGAGGGTGTCCTATAGGCACTGAATGAAAAATGCAGAGTAGTAGAGCATGAGACGCAAATCAGCAAATTACATCAGTGGAGAGATGTTGGTGATGCAGGAGAGTTCATTCCACTGATTTAATGCCTGTTTAATGGCCTCCTCACCATTACGAAAAAACATTTCTCGCCTTGCGTAAGTTGTTAGAACCTCTTCGTCTTCATCTTCAGATGGTTAAAGATGCTACAATTGCTTTCTGACGTCTTCTGCTACATATTGTGTACATCAATCAGGCATAACATTATGAGCACCTCCTTGTTTCTACGCTCATTGTCCATTTTATCAGCTCCACTTACTATATAGGTGCACTTTGTAGTTCTACAGTTCCAGACTGTAGTCCATCTGTTTCTCTGATACTTTGTTAGCCCCCTTTTACCCTGTTCTTCAGTGGTCAGGACCCCCATGGACCCTCACAGAGCAGGTACTATTTGGGTGGTGGATCATTCTCAGCACTGCAGTAACACTGACGTGGTGGTGGTGGTGTGTTAGTGTGTGTTGTGCTGGTCTGAGTGGATCAGACACAGCAGTGCTGCTGGAGTTTTTAAACACCTCAGTGTCACTGCTGGACTGAGAATAGTCCACCAACCAAAAATATCCAGTCAACAGCGTCCTGTGACCACTGATGAAGGACTAGAGGATGACCAACACAAACTGTGCAGCAGCAGATGAGCTATCGTCTCTGACTTTACATCTACAAGGTGGACTGACAAGGTAGGAGTGTCTAATAGAGTGGACAGTGAGTGGACAGTGTTTAAAAACTCCAGCAGCACTGCTGTGTCTGATCCACTCATACCAGATCGGTGTTTGTGGGAATATACTTCAGCAATTAACCATCTACATTTAAACAAACACATATATAAATATATAGACTTCAGGTTAGTCATGCTCTCTTGTGTTGGCATTTTCCTTTCCCCAAGGTTATTGATTTAGGTTATTTCATTTCAGATTTTTTTATATAGCCCTTTTACAACAATCTGCACAAAGCAGCTTTACAGAAATTCAGCCCCAAATGAGCCGAGGTGTTGTAATATAATACTGAATGATATTTTTTCAGTATTCTGCAGAATTGAAGTAATTTGGTCATTATCTCAAAAGGACTAAACTTGGATACTCAGACTTAATAAAGATGTTCTGTTTAATAAACGTGGCCTCAGCATCAGACCCGCCCTCCACATGGCAGAGTCTGGAGATATAGAGACGCAGAGGTCTAATGGCTGAATTCACCTCTATCTCTCAGCGAGAGACGGCTGCGATCATCAGTGCGTCACGGTGGGTGATGGATGTCAGCGCTCAGAGATGCGCCTCACATCCATCAGTGTGCACATGCTCTACATGATGACTATCACCACGGCAGCTGTCTGCTCCACTGTGCCGAGGAGGACCGAGGAGACTCAATCACGTCAGTCAGGCCAGTTCTCAGACGCTCTCGCCTCACACAGTGAACAGAGGGGAACCCTTAGGGCCTTCTACACCTTCAGAGAGGACTTCTGGGAACTAAAACATGCATGTCTGTAATTTTTAGTTCATTTTTATTCAGTATAGTCATTACTGTATTTAAACTCTGCAGGTATTACAGCACTGCTCTTCTCTCATTGTGAAGTTTTAGATGAAAACTAATGGAAGTTCTTGAAATGCAGAGCAGAAAACTGGCCAATCAGGAATTGTTTTTCTCTGAGGTATCTAGGTAGATTTAGCTAAGCGAGTTCTCCTATTGCTTAGGACTTCAGGAGCTGAAGAGATGTCCTAACACGTTAGATCAGGGGTGCACAACTCAGGTCCTGGAGGGCCGGTGTCCAGCACAGTTTGGAGGTTTCCCTGCTCAAACACACCCACTTAACCTGGCAATTAACAGATAAGTGTAATCAGGTGTGTTGGAGCAGGTGAATCACCAAACTGTGCCGGTCATCGGCCCTCCAGGACCAGAGTTGTGCACCCCTGCATTAGATTAACCATCAGCAGAATTACCAAGTGACAAAGAAATCAACCAACCAATCACGCTTTGAGGACCAATTTCATGAGAAAAAAGTCACTCCGTGTGCTTCTGTTACATTTAATAAGAGTTGTAATGCTGACACTCACTCTGCTTTCAGCTGACTTGTTAGGCCAGAAGTAAAGTTCACGTTTTCATTTGTAGCAGAGATGTGTGTAGTTTTCTTGTATAAAAGTGATTAATTTTACTCAAATACTTTAAAAATTATTGAGGAAAAGACAAAACGTGTTGCAGAGCAGCCTACAGAACTGCAGCAGAACCTTAGTTCCTTATAGTCAATCCAGCATCTGGATGGACTAAGTCATGTGACTTCATCATGGTTAATGATGTTATAATGTGACTAACTTTACACTGTAAAAAATGGTTTGTTAGTTCAACCTAAAAAATTTACTTCATGTGGTAACAAGTACGTTAGGTAGTTTTATTCAACCTAAATCAATTTGAACTTGAACGAATGATTCTTTCAATTAAAGCATTTTTTTTTGAGTTTAATAAAACTTTCAATTCTCCTCACTGCAGAGACAGTACTGATCTCCTGCTGTCTGAACTGAGCTGAACCACATCACTGTATCTCCTCTCCTGTTAATACACACTGTGCAATATATCATAACCTGCTGCTATTGACAGTTTCACTATGCACTTTAGACTGTAAACACTGCTGATATTCATAGTTATTCTTATATTCATTGTGTTGTAACTTCCTCATACCACTTAGTGCAACACCTGCTCTCATGGAAATACAACAAATCTGTCTTATATGATATGTAAATATGCAATAGATATACTTTTATTCCTAATCTTTCATAGTTTACTTGATTTATGTCTATTTTTCTATTTCTGCCTAATTTGTCTTTTTTTTTATTCCTATTTTATTTCTGCCTAATGTATGTAAGTTTATGTGCAATCATATGTCTTGCTACTGTAACACTGCAATCTCCCTTCAAGATCAATAAAGTTCTATCTATCTATCTATCTAGTTAGGACTCCCCCAATACCACCAGGCCCAGGAGGGTGAAAGCTAACACAGTCTTCCTCCTACTTCTGTGAAGGATATTAATGGTGAGTTTGTTCTGCAGAAACAGCCTCTACTCTTTTGAGAAGGCCTCTAAATCCATCAAGGACATCCATATAACTGAGTAAATGAAACTAATTACTACCCACCTCTAGGATTTACCAGCAGACTGGACCAGATTACTGTGTACTTATGGTTTTCTCTGAATCAGCTGTGTTATATATTATACTTTAATGATATACTTTATTGATCCTACCAGGGAAATTTGTCATTCGCGGTGCAACTGTGCAGTCTGGGAGCAGCAGAGCAGCACGGGCAGCAGGGTGTTAAAGATTAATTCCACCCATTTTTCATAAATTACTGCATAATTCAATCGCTGGGATGTAAACAGTGTGATTACAGAGGTGGTGATAGGAACCAGGGGTCGCCATGACTACAACATAAATATAGATATTTTATTTACCATCCAAAACCACCAGTGAACCTACACGAGTCTTCTGAGTTTATATGGAATGTTGATGATGGAAAATAGTGGAAAATCTGAAATACTAAGTTTTCTTTGGGGACTATTTTGCCTCAGAGCGCCCTGCATGTATACAGATCTTCTCAAAACGTCAGGCAGTGAATTCATAACCATTTCATGTAGGAACTTTCTGTGAGGAAGCTTTTAGAGGTGGACGTCTGGTTCCTATCACCACCACTGTGAACAGTCTGACTCTGTAAGTTTCTCTAGAACAGAGCGTTTCACACCAAACCACTCTGAACGACTCTGTTTACGTCTTAACCAGTTAATTATGCAGAAATTTAGAACAAATTCTCTTTAAATGCCTTATCCGAGGGTACAACCAGGAATACAGAGTCAGTTCTGAGACTTTCCAGATGATGTTTCTACTAGAACACTGATGTAATGTTACGGTTAATAGTCCAAGCTGTCTGCTTAGATTTTAGGCATTTGCTCAGATTCTAGTTAAACTTCTCTTCACATATTTCCGTGGCGCTGCC